TATTAGATGCGTCTTGACAAGCTTTACAAAAGTCTTTTAAGCAAGAAAGATGATTAACTTAGTATAAAAAAAAGTTTATCTTGGACAAACGCCACATTCGCACTATAATAAATTTATATAGTAATCTGTTATTAAGATCATGCTTCAGTTAACTGGAGAATCATCAATTAAATAAATTAAAATAATATAAACATTAATTCATAATCTGCCAGTGAACCAGTGAAATAATATAGTAAATATTAGAGATAAGTTTACTATGTAAATTTTGCCTTTTTTGGAATCTGGAGTTTTCCAAAGAAAAAAAATTCCTTTTACTAACTAAATCTCTTTTCAACACCTAAGTGAAGTTGTAGAGGAGTATTTTGTGATCAGAATGGCAGTTAAAACATTAAAATCAGCCTAGTGGATCAAGAGATATAAGTATTTTAGCCTTTACAACTATATGTTTTCTTTTTTATTTATATAAAAAAGAAAACATATAGTTGCAAAGACTAAAATGCTTATAACTCTCGATTCACTAGGCCGATTTTAATGGTTTAACTGCCATTCTGCTCACAAGAACCTCCTCTACAACTTTACTTAGGAGTCAAAAAGAGGTTTAGTTAGTAAGAAAAAATTTTTTCTTTGGAAAACTTCAGATTCCAAAGACAATAGTAAATTTCTCTACTTTTTACTATATGTTTTCACTAGTTCACTAGTGGATCACGAATTAATATATAAAAATAATAATTCAGAGCCGAAAGTCTTCAATCGATACTTACAACATGCTCAGTTAGCTTATTGAGCTTATCTATAATAGCAGCCAAAGTAATTTGCTTTTAAATTATTATTATTTTTTTTAATGTTAATGGCTTTTAAATTATTTTAAATAATAAATTAAATTAAAAATACTATAACTAGTAAATTAACAAAATAAACAAAATTATTTTTATGTTGGTGTGCTAATGGTTTTGACTGGGAGCACACAGTTTTGCTTAGTATCTAACTGAGATACACTCCTAATAGCAGTTATTTTTTTAAAAGCTATATGCTGACTAGTGACAAGTTAATCATGTTTTTTCGATTTTGGAGTAGCTATTTGAATTAAGATAAAAAAAAGATATAAAATAAAATATAAAAATAAAAATAAAAAAATGAAATAAAATATATTATATATATATATATATATTTTTTTTTTTAACAACACTGCCTCTTTATTACTCATTATTGTGGATGCATAATACAACACATACTTTTACAACAGAAATTCAGTACATCATTGGTAATCTCTAACCTAATTAGTACCTGTTATGCTGCCACTATTGAGTTCATATCTCAAGCCACCTTTATGGGATGCTGCCGTAATCCAGTCTGTATCTTAAGCCATAACCTTCCTAATTAGTTATCAACAACCACAGATGTCCCAGGTCCCTTCCCCTGTGGTATTACAGTTTCCGAATTTCCTTAAACCCCTTTGAGCGAGACGTACCAAACTTTACAGCCCGATATAGTTGTAGTTAACCCTTATTTACCTCACCATTGGTCTACATAGCATTTATAGTTTGCTTACCCCAACTCGGGTGCCTCTGAATCATTGAATAGTGGAGTATTCTCATTTTGCTAGATATTACATGTCCCACTCATATATTTATCTAGACTTCAGTAACCTATACCATGGCTCTACCCATGTACTTGGGGTCAGGGCTAACTATTGAACCTCTGTAATTACCTACTTCTGCCCTTATTAGGTTCCTAACAACCCTGGTACCCGCATTTGAACTGTCTTCTTATCCAGATTCTTTATCGGTCTCTCCCTTACTTCCAGTCGGCAACCCGAAAGGGTTGGTCTGCCCAGGCTTTAGGTACTTGAAGGATGCCATCCTCTTGGTATATACTTTCAGAGCGTGCGACAGAACTTGGCAGTTCAGCTGGTGTGTCTTCCACTATTAGGACCTGGTCATTCGGTTCTCCGATCTCGGGCCCCAGTTCAAATTCAGCCTTCTTGTGATACTATTGAAAATTACTGTTACTCCTAACTCAGGACTTCCCAAATGGGTTTTCAGTTATGCCAGTTCCTCGAATTTATTGTGCTATTGCTTCTATTACTAGATGGTGTAACCGAAGTTACAGATTAGATCTAACCGATATGCATAGCCGTCAACTGAACACAAGCCTATTTTTCAAAATTTGTCGTTCGTGGGATTTGAACTCTAGACCTGCCACTTGGAGAGGTGACGACTAGACTACTATACTAAGTCGCCACACCTCAAAATATATTATATTAAATAATATGAAATGAATAAAAGAAAATAAAGATAAAGTGATAATTGTTATATAATATAATGATATTAAAATTAAGTAAAATAAATAAATATAAAAGAGATTAAGCGAAAGATTAGAATTATTCAGGTATCAAAAATAAAATTAATTAGAAAAACTATAAGTGGAAAGAAAGCAAAAGTGGGTTTATTTAAATATTTTTGAAAATATTTTAACATACTCAAATTAATTTGATTTATTTTGAAGGGATAATTTATACACTGCGTCTCGCGATGTTGCTGCATCCCTGCAGATCATAAAATTAGATGTAATATGAAATCAAAACAACCCATTTTTTTGTTAGCTAGGGTTAGGGTGAAGTAAGGTTAGTGTTAGGGTTAGTGTTAGGGTTAGGGTATGAGTTTTTTTATAGTAAAATTTTGTGAGAAATTTTTTTTGTTAGAATGCAAAGGGTAGTTTCATATACAAAGTTTTGAGTTATAGATGATTTTTGACAAAATGACCGTTTTTTTAAATTTTCTAATTGTGCTACATTATACCTGATCTTAAAATTTGATTGGTCAATCATGTGAGAGGCAATAAATTAGTGACATCACGGGGTGCGGTGAATAAATATACCCTATTTTGAATTTTATTAATGATAATATTTTAAAACCATTCACATTAACTACTATAGATTCCCGAAAATAAGCTACCTTTTTTTGGCCGATTTTAAACTCAAAAAATCAGAAGTAGCTTCTTTTTGGAATATAAAAGTTTTTAAGCAATTCATGCTTAACGTTAGGGGTAGCTTATTATCAGGTGTTTATTTTAAAAAACTAGTTTTGTTTTTATATAGCACTTTATTTAACTTACTTTTACTTAAAATAATTTTTTTTTATATAACATCCAGATTTGCAAAAGCAAATATGTATACCTGCTACTTAAAATTTTTTTTTTAAAAAAAAATTTCGTCATTTCAACACACAAACTTCAATTTTTTTTGACATGCGTCAAATTTACAATGATATTTATAATCTGAAAAGGATAACAGTCTCGATATATATAAATAGCTAGTCAACAATTCAAAAAAAAAAAGTTACTTGCTATGTACATATGAAAATTTTACTTACATTATAACTTGAAAAGGATATAGACTTGATACACGGCATAAATATTTATACATTATACAATCTTAAAGTTGAATTGTCGTTATAGTTCTTAGAACACTATCGCTATCAACTGTCATTACATTAGTAATTAGCTTGTCATTACATTAGTAATTGGTTGAATATTAGAACACTTAATTAGTTGAATGTTATCAATTAATATGAAAACCTCACGAATTTTTTAGTAAAAAAAAAAAAAAAAAAGATAAAATCAACGCTTTTATTTATCTAATATACTGTAATTTAAATTTCAAAAAACCAAGCATAAAAAAAAAAAATCACTTGCCAAATGCAATAGAAAAAAAAAAACTTTCTACTTATCCTTTTTTTTTTTTAAGAAACTTTTTTTGTCAACTTGAGTTTTAAAAGATCCTTCAATCTTTTTTTTTTTTCTAAAAAAAATGAAATTCTTACATGGTTGAGGAAAAGAATAAGGTCGTGAAATTGGCTCGTCGTACTTCAAATTCACATGCAGCATGGCACTACTCCTTGGATTTAACCATGCTTGGTCATTGGGTTAAGAAGTTTTCTCAAACCCCATCTTCTTCTTCTCAAAAGAATATACAAAGTATTGGCTCTGGGCACCATGCACTTTTTCCTGAAGAAGAGTCTCAACTTTTTGAGTGGATAATAGATGTTTGCCAGAATGGTTTTGCAGTCACTTACTCTAATATAAAATTTAAAATGGCTGAAATTTTGGATAATAGTACTAAAAAAAACCAAAGATAAATCTAAAAGGCTTGCAATTGAAAAGTTTAAGATCTCAATACACTGAGTTAGTTGTTTTTAAAATAGCATAATCTTTCTCTTCGATATAAGACCAGAACTTACCAGAGGATCTTGAAAATCAACTGCTTAATTTTCAGTAGTTTATTATTTGCCTTCGTTAAAAAAACAATTACCCTCTTGAAATGATTGCAAACATGGATAAAATGCTGGTTTATTTTGATATGGCAGATGCCATGACCGTGAACACCAAAGGTGCAAAGACAGTTCATATTAGAACAACTGGGAATAAGAAGAACCGATTTATAGTAATCTTGACATGCCTTGCTGATAGTAAAAAACTACCACCAGTCATTATTTTTAAGGGAAAGATTTGGCCAACTAATATGCCATGACCTCCAGCTGGTATAATGGTTTGGTTTCAAGAGAAGAGATGGATGGATGAACAGGGAATGAATAAATGGATAAAGTATTGGAATAATGTTTAACCAGGACCACATAATTCGAAAGCATTGCTAGTCTTTGATTCTTTTTTAGTTCATATTACAGATCAGATAAAGGCAATGTTTCGTTCAGAAAATACATATTTGGCCGTCATTCCTGGAGGCCTTACTGGTATGTGCCAGCCTCTTGATATCTGTATCAACAAACCTTTTAAAGATAAGCTTCGTAAGTATTGGCATAGATGAATAACAAATAGTGACAATGGTGTGACAAAGAATAGAAACTTAAAGCATGCCGATCTGAATATGGTATGCCATTGGGTTTTGAATGCTTGGAATAATATTTCTGAAGAAATTATTATCCGGGCATTCGAAAAATGTGGTATCTCCAATTGCTTGTCAGGAAGTGAGAACTATTTGATTTATAATGACGACGATAAAGAAAATTCTGAGAAGAATTCAGATAAAATGAATCTGATAATAAAGAGAAGGAATCTGATGAAGATAAAGAGAAGGAATTTGATGAAAATGAAGAGGAGGAATCTAATGAAGAACCTGATGAAAAACCCAATGAAGAAGATAAAGAGTCTGATGAAGAGTATAAAACTGGTGACAAAAATGAATCTGGTAATAAGATGGACAATTATAAGTGGCCAGAGTGCTAGGTCGTTATTTGAAAAGCTTGATTTTGCATATTATACAGGGTAAAAATTATTATCTGAAAAAAGCATGATTTTATATATTTTTTAGAGTAAGAGTTAAATTTTATTAATCGGTTTATATTTCTTGACCAAATATGTAGGTGCAATACTACTACTTATTAGGTAGCTTTTTAGTTAGCTTTTTATTTTAATAGCTATTGTAATGATATAATAAGACGTAATAAAATTTGGAGTTTCTGGTTATTTTTGGTAGCATGTGTCTCTTTATTATTTATTAATTTTACCAGATATTGGGTTAGATATATGAAAAATAAATGGGCGATAAGGATATTTTAGACATATTTAAATATTTTAAGTCCTTGTACTAAAATCATTATTTAAATAATATATTATATGCGCAAAAACTAATCTATAAATACTGTAATTTATCAATTTAATAAAGATATATTTACGAATGATTGATTTAATAGAAAATTAAGATGCATAATTATTTTTTAATTGTATGTTTATTGTTCACGATATAATAGAATTACTTAGTATTAAACTGGTCATTCACAACCTATTTATATATAAACTGTATGCTTTATCTAATAATTAAAAGCAAATAAATGATTTTATACTTATATGTATATAAACATTTGTATTATCACGTTTTGCAACAAGAGGAAACATACTCGATCCAAAGTGAATTTTATACATGATTTAATCAATTAAAACTAATATAAATAATTCAGTTTTAATTGATCACACTATATATAGGATTCACTTTGGATCAGGTATGTTACCTTCTGTTACGTTTTGCTAGATTTCAATAAATATATTACCAGGTATTGATATTTGAGCTTAAAAAAAAAATAAAACAATACATCATCTCTAGTGAAATAAATTTTACTTCATAATCAATATATTGTTCAAATTTGGAAAGAAAAAGTAGCTTATTTTCAGAATACAAATTCTTATTATTGTTTTTAGTCTGAAGAAGTGAAATAGCTTATTTTCGGGTATAAGAGTTTGCTAAGCTTTTTAATCAAATTTAAGGGGTAGCTTATTTTTGGGAATCTATGGTAAAGTAATTAATTTTTTATATATTACATTTGAAATTTATTTCTAATCTATTCTGATTTATTGTAATAAATTCGTTATAGTTTTATCTTTATTTAATTATATCAAATTTAATATATTAAATACATTTAACATATATCACTTTATTGAATTTTAAATGCCAACATATGCGATTAAAAAATTTATAACTCCCAAAATATATTTAATATTAGTTAGAACAATGCGAATTAATCTAATTACTTTAAATATATTAGCTCCTATTAAACTATTACTTTTTAAATTTTTATTACTATATTTAGAAATACAAACTACTTTTATTTAAATTAATCTATATTAAATTGAACAAATTCCATTTATAGTAAATTTCTCAAACATGTATATTTCGCATTATTTATTGTTATATAAAATTATAATAGACTTAATTTATTTAGATGTTTTATAATCATAATCTATTCATTCTAAGATAATTTAATATTATTTAGAACAATACACAATAATTTGATTACTTTAAATATATCAGCCCCTATTAAACTATTACTTTTTTACACTTTCATTACTATATTTAGGAATGCAAACTACTTTTATTTAAATTAATCCACATTAAATCAAACAAATTCTATTTATAGTAAATTTCTCAAACATGTATATTTCACATTATTTGATTGTTACATAAAATTATAATAAACTTTTATTTAATTAGATTTTATATTTATTTATACTAAGATAATTAATATGTAAGGGCTTTATAAACTACAATAAAAGTAAAATTTTTACTTTTTATAAAGATAATTGTTGATTTATAACAATAAGATTTAAGTAATTCGCATCTATGTGCATTAATTTAACTAAAATAGCAATTAAAATAAACAGACAATAGTAGAAAATAATCTTTAAATAATAGGTCTTTTATACTTATTTAAATTAAATTACTACTATTTAAAATTAATATCATTTTTAATATATTTAATAATTTAATAAATAAAAATAAATACAAAAATTTCGTTAAAATCGTTTAAAGCTAAATCAAATTAATTTGAATTAATTTAAAATATATTAAAATTTCGAGTTAATATCAATATAAATATTTTAGATTATCATTAATTTTATAAAATAAATTTACTTTAACTAATTTTATAATAATAAGTAATTTCGAATAGATTCAAAATGACTAAACCTTTAAGTATAAGTCTAACTATTGAAATTCTAAAATGGTTGTGCAACAATGTATACTTTTAACACAAAGATCCTGATTTTGTTTATTAACAATTTTTTTCGATTTATTAAACCTATACACAGCAATTTTTATAGTTAACTCTTGTTTAATCAAAATTAATGTTGAATAATATACAATAATAAAGAATTTTAAACAAATTTATTTATTTAAATTATTTTTCTATACTAAGTATAGTAATATAATTCTATGTAAAATAGACTTATGCAAAATAATTTTAAAAACTTCGGACTATTGCGAATTGATTAGATTAAATTAATATTATAGAAAAAAAATAATGTTTTAATATTTAATAAAATATCAAAGTAATCAAATATTTTGAAATTTTTATAATATAATATAATATAATATTTTTATTTATTGAAATTATTGAAATTATCTCACCTTTAACATTAAAAAAAAAAAAAAAAAAAAAAATTATTAGAATTATTTTAATTTTTTAAATAATCCTATTTGCTTTTCTATTTTGCAAATAGTTTTTTGTTTATTTATTTAAATAACACTTTACTAAATTATTTCGAATCTTTGTGATATAGATTAATCTATTTTAATTGATGATCCTCTAGTCAACTGAAGCATAATCTTAGTAAAATGTGATTCAGATTACTATATAAATTTACTATAGTATGAATGTAGCAATTGCCCAAGATAAACTTTTTTCATACTAAGGTAATTACTTTTCTTGTTTAAGAAACTTTTATAAAGCTTGTCAAGACACATTTAATAGTGGTTAGAGCATTAAAATCAGCCTGGTGAATACTGAAATATCTTTAAAAAACATCTTTTTTACTATGTAAACTTCTTTGCAAACAATAGTTAAACAATAGTATTGTTTGCAAAGAAATTTACATAGTAAAAAAGAGGTTTTTTAAAGATATCTCAGTACTTACCAGGCTGATTTTGATACTCTAACCACTATTTGATGTGTCTTGACAAGCTTTACAAAAGTCTCTTAAGCAAGAAAAATAATTAGCTTAGTATGAAAAAAGTTTACCTTGGGCAATTGCTACATTTACACTATAGTAAATTTATATAGTAATCTGAATCACATTTTACTAAGATCATACTTCAGTTGACTGGAGGATCATCAATTAAATCAAATCATATATTTATTTATAAATAAAATTCAGTGATAGTCTAATTTAATTCTTGAATATCAAAGGTTTTAAAATTTTTAGCTTTTAACTTTTCATTATTTTTAATTATTTCAAATTATTTTAATATAATTCGAATTATTTTGAATTATTTTGCTCTTATAGTTTATAATAATTTATCTTATTATTGAATATTGATGTTTTAAAATATTAGCTCTTTAATTTGCATTATTTTTAATTATTTCAAACATTTTTAATATAATTCAAATTATTTTGCTCTTATTGTTTATAGTAATTTATTCCAATCTGTTTCAAATTATTTCGAATTATTTTACATAATATTGCATAATAATCTTATATAATATTTCATAATTTTATATTTCGCAATATTGTAAAAGTTATTATATAATATTATAGTGTTCTTATACTTCATAAATTATTTCGCAATATTACGCCCTTTTAAATTTACTGATAATATAATCTGTAAAATATCAATAGAGAATAATAGAAATTCAATTAATCAACCTAAAATCAGCTTAATTTAAGTTCAAAAAAAATTAATAACATCAGTAAAATATCATCATAAAATTTAAATATTATAAAATAATCAGAGCATATTATAGCATATTGGTTTAAAATAAGATATTTAAAATTAATTAGTTAAATTGTTATTATATTTTCTTGTTATTTATTTAATCTGTAAAATATTTAATATCAATTTTTTATTTATTTATTTTTTTTTTTTGGTGTCAAAATTAGAAGCTTTAAAATAACTTAATTCAATATTTATATATCGTAATACATAGTTAAGATCTGTTAAAGGATTCTAAATTACTTGTATTACTAAAAAAAATTTTAGACACCCAGCATAACACTATATCTCTATTTTATCTAACTTTTAAATCTAAAGATAATAAAATTAATAAAGATTTTAAAAGTGAATTAGGTAAGAGAAAACCT